AACCACAAGCAAAAAATAATTCCAAAATAAAAAAAGTCTCCAACCCCTACATCACACCACCATTACGCAAACCGGTGGCCGAAACAATGTTATAGAGTTGAATAGACCGATACCACACTAACGTTAGGAAAAAAATTTATTACGTCCAGACAATAACTAACCAGCATACTGATGTGCGAACCACAGGACGAGCGCATTCGAGCGGTGATGTTTTGTTATTTGGTCTCTGGACGTGTTTGATGTCGACACAATAATTACTCATAGTTAGGGAAATTTATATAAGAAAATTGGCTAAAGAGATTGGAATTGATCCACCGGGCCATGTGGCCCTCCAACTTGGCAGACGAGGCTGTGGATAAAGCTTCTATAGCTAGGTAAATATATAGTGATAATACTGTTACTTTCCTAATATTTTAATTGGTTTCAGGCTTGCGCAACTGTGATAGGTGGGATCACTGAAGATTCCTCTGCTTCTGTCGAAAGTAAAATATCTTCTAAGAGATGCTCAATTATATTTGTGATACTAAGCATTGCTTGGAAAACTTAATGAAGCCGCCTTGAAAAAAATTTCAACTTGGTACAAAAATATAATTTTTTTTTTCAAATATATTATGTATTTATTCTCAAAACATAATTTGGGATCTAACAACAACAGTGATGGTCATTAAATGAGAAGCATTAGTGTTGCAGAGATGAGGATGCTCATGTAGATGAGTGGCTTTGCTCTTAGAAATATGATACAAAATGAGTATATATGTGAAATATTATAGTATCTCCTGTGAAAGATAAGATTAGAGAGAGTCATCTTAGATGGTTTGATCACATAAAATAATAGTATTTTGATTACCAGTTATGAGAGAAGATGTATTAAATTTACTTATGCTAAGAAAAGTAAAGGTAGATCTAAAAACACATGGTTAGAACATATAAGAAACGATTTTTTTCATTAGATTTAAACGAGAATTTTATTTTTAATAAAACATATTAGAAAAAAATAGTTTTAAGTAAGTGATCTCAAGCAGTGGGATATGTTAGCCTATGTACACATTACTGCTGGTCCCCTTACTTAGTTCCTTTCCTAAGTGTTGTTAGCCTATGCTGTAAGGTCTTACTTTTGTAGTTTATAAATACCTCTGCTTAGTCTTGTAACAGTCAAGATAATTCAATACAATTACATTTCGTTTCTTTCTCCCTCGTCTCTCTCTCTCGTCATCTCCATTCTGTCATCAGGATAAACACTTAATGTTGTTGTTGTTCAAATAGAAAAAAATAGTTGAATATATTTTTATCAAAACTTTCATAGTGATAATTAAGGTTTCATTTCGAATGACTTTCTTATTATTTTTTAGAATAATTTTTTAATATAAAATTTTTATTTTTTATGCTAAAAAAATTTTTAAGAAGTAGAAAAAAAGAAGACATCCCAAACTAAGTCTAAATTATATTTTTTTCATGATACCCTAAATCCCTAATACCTAAATTTTTTAAAATTGGAATCAGGTCATTATCACGAATTTCCAAAAATGCCCAGCTGTGAACAGGTTGGCACGAGCCGAAATTGGGCAGCTTTCCCTTGCGTGAAAAATAAAAGGGGAAGGATAGTATGGGAATACTCACACGTCATTGGCATCCATTACGGAATATTAACTTTTTTGGGAAAAAGCCTCTCTATACAAAAGTGAGAATTCCAATTTTCCAATCGAGGACATCAAATTATTGTCGATCCAACGGCCATCAAACGTTTCTCAGCACGGTCCGATATTAACTTCGCCAGATCCACAGAACTATGGCCCTCAAAAAAGGGACCAAGAACTAGACCTTCAGCGATTATTTGGTGGATCCCGCCATTGCCTACAGTTCCATCCGTGACCATGGTCACAAATAGGTGCGCTTATAGTGTAGATGCCTATGCCAGCTGTCACGTAGCGACAACCAAAGGACGTGGTGGGACAAAGAACCCCGCTTTTTCGCTTTTATTCCCGGTACTGTATTAAGTGTACTGCCTGACACACGCCAGCACAGAAACCAATCTTGACAGCTGGATTTTACACGTGGCATATGGTTATTGGGTTTGGTATCATGTTTCGTCTTCTGTGAATAGCAGACGTGTATTGGGATCGCTTGGTAGTGAGCAACGGCTACTTCGTCTTACGTGGCAAGAAAGATCTGTGATCCGACGTGGCATGCGGGCTTCGTCAAGAAGCCAAAATAATTGGGCTATAAAAGACCAGTATCCGCACGGTTTCGTGATCTCATCTCGACAGCTCACTCTCTTTTCTCAACCTACGTTTCTCTTGCGGCAATGGAGTTTGATCGCCGGGCGGTGGTGGCTGTCTTAGTATGCGTCGCAGTCTCGGCGGCGACGGCAGTGGCTGCCGGAAATGGGTCGAGGTTTGATGAGCTTTTCCAGTCCAGCTGGGCCTCCGATCACATGATTTATGACGGAGAACTCCTCAAGCTCACGCTAGACAATTCCTCCGGTAATCTGGAGCTCTGTTTTTTTCTCTCTGTGGTTTGTCGTCATAATGTGCCTAACAATCATTATGTAAATCGATATTTCAGGTGCGGGGTTCTCATCCAAAAGCCGATACCTTTACGGCAAGGCAACCGCTGCAATAAAGCTCGTCGGCGGTGACTCAGCCGGCACTGTCACGGCTTTCTATGTATTAATCTCTCGATTCTCATCTGTTTCAAATATAAAAAATGCGACCTTTTTTGTCGCTATCAAGAAATTAACTTTGGTTTTTTCTTGTTGTTCGGGATAATTTATTAAATCATTCAGATGTCGTCGGAAGGAGCGAACCACGACGAATTCGACTTCGAATTCCTGGGAAACACGACGGGGGAGCCTTACCTTGTTCAGACAAACATCTACGTCAACGGAACTGGTAACCGGGAACAGAGGAATGATCTCTGGTTTGATCCTACAACTGATTTCCACACCTACGGTATTCTCTGGAACCCACGTCAGGTTGTTTTCCTCGTCGATGAGACTCCAATCCGCGTTTTCCAGAACAAGGAAGACAAAGGCATCGCCTTTCCCGGATACCAAAAAATGGGAGTCTATAGCTCGTTGTGGAACGCCGACGATTGGGCTACTCAGGGAGGACGCGTGAAGACCAACTGGTCTCACGCACCCTTCGTCGTCAGCTATCGCGATCTCAAGATCGACGGCTGCGAAGTCGCCGTGGAGGCCTCCGACGAAGACGAATTGCGGCGGTGCAGCGGAAGCGAGTGGGGGAAGGAAGGACGGTATTGGTGGAAGGCGCCGGAGATGGAAGAGCTCACTGTTCATCAGAGCCACCAGCTATTATGGGTGCGTGAGAAACATCTTATTTATGATTACTGCTCTGACGCCGCTCGGTTCCCTTCGGCACCACCCGAGTGCGTCCGGTAGTTCGTCTCTGTAAACAAGATCGTAGAGCTCGCTACTGTCTTCCATTGGCTTTACTCTTTTGTCTGTTGTTAGGTGGGAAAAAGGAAAAGGGGGAAACAACAATGAAAAAGCCTGTAATGGTTTCTTTTGATGATGGTGAATGATGTCACTGGTTCAGTGGCATTGATGATTAGTGTAAATGAAGCAGTGATGTTTTTCAAATTTACAGACGTAAATTAAGTTATTTATGATTGAAGTATGGATGATTAGAAATTTTTAGGGTTGGTAGAATTAATGAGGGGAATTAAATAGGAAGGGGGGAGGAGGGATGTAAAAGGTGATCAATAAAGACGTTACAGCAACCAGCTGGAATGGAGGCCCTGCTTTGAGTGAGTGCCATGACTGCCATTCGCATGATTTAAAAGCGCTCAACGTGACACAATGAAGTGCATTTAATTGCACGTTTGAAGAGCTAAAATTAAATAAATAAAATTTGATAAAAATAAAAATTGTATTATTATATTTTTTAATATATCTATTTATTTATTCATAATAGAAAATTAATTTCTTACATTTTTTATATCTTGGTTTGAAATTTAATTATGATGAGGAATATTTAAAAAAAATATGAGATAGTTTTGAAAAGTAATGTAAATGATTAAAAGTATTGTATTTATATATACATTATATAACTTTTCATAATTTAATAAATAGAAGACACATTTTATCCCAATAAAATCTAAAAAAGTTTTTCTTTTTAAAATTTGTAAACGAAGATAAGAAAAAAAATAAAGTTTATTTGAATGGTTTCTTTTGTATTGACATTTCATCACCTCTCTTAACACAACCATGATTTCTTTGTATTGAAAGTCTAAAAAGTTATAGTAAGGGATTTATGAATGACAAAAACATCAAAATAGATGAGATGTGATGGCTCTAAACCAGCACATGCTAAAGAAATTTGATTGAATCATGAGAGTCATTTATATGATTATTTGACAAGTTCTTATGTTCGCAAAACACAATCATCCACTTTTTCCTAAGATGAAGATGTTCAAGTGAATGATTGGCTTTACTCTTAGAGACATGATACAGATTGAGCATATACATGAAAAGGTTGGAGTAGCTCCAATGGAAGATAAGATTAGAGAGAGTCGCCTTAGATGGTGTGGTTACATAAAATGACGACCTTTCTTAATCCGATTAGAAAAATGGATGTATTAGATTTGACTTATGTTAACAAAGGCAGATGTAGATCTAAAAAGACTTGATTAAAAAATATTAGAAATGACATTTATTTATTATATGTATATGAGAATTTCTTTTAACATCACAATGAAGAAAAATGATTCATATACAATAATGACTAGAAATAGTGGGATAATGACTTGTTGTTGTTGTTGTATGAGCATCATCTACAATCAACAATCATTCTAGAGTGATATAATTTAGGAATGTGCTTCATCATATTTTAATGATGAATTAGTCCTTGACCACCTATCTTTCTAAAATTAAATTTCTTATTGATAACCTCAACTGTTTGTTCTCACATTAGCCACATATTACATTTTGGATGAGCATCCTCCCACTTATCAAGCAATTAAAATTGGCATCTAGGGGAAATTATTCTGTGCGGAGTTCGAATATAAATGATCTTCCGGATTGCTGCGTACACACTGTGTACGTATTGCATAAGTATTGCATATTTGTAGATACGCAGTAAATACTAAGCCAATCATTAGTTGTGAGTATTTGTTGAGTATTTAATGTGTATTCTCTGTATTTTTGTTGAGCATTTAATGAGTATTGTTGATTTGCTGCTTATTTGCTACTTATTTATTACATATCTACAAATATACAGTAAGCACACAGTTCGTACACAGCAATTCAAAAGATCCTCTCCGTTCGAACTCTGCGCCAAATTATTTCTCATCATCCAGACTTAAGCTAACATTCATTAGCCTAAACGATTTAGACTCATTTCATTATACTGAAGAAATCAATTCACCAAATGATCAAAACAAAATGTAACCACTTGCCACTTTCAATCATAGCGTGGGTACTTCCAACCAAATATGAGGAGATACACCTCATCCATCCAAAGGTGGCCTAATTGCTCTTCAGCTGAAATATATCAAAGTTATGGAAAAGTCAGACATATTGTCTTATTCAAAATTTGGTTATCGCTTAATCGTTTTAGCTAATCTTCACCACATGTAAAGGCTTACTCGGCCCCTAAAATCTCATTGTAAGCTCACTCTTAAAAATATTGTTAATATTCCAAAGTTAACTCATAGTGTCACTATTCAACCCGATATAAATCGTAAGAACTAATCATACAGTGTCGTATGATGACACGAGAGAAACCATAAGATCAAATTGGAGAAAATTATAGAACTCTCAAATAATTTATTGAACATAGAGCAACTAAAATTTCAATTAAAATAAATGAATACTCATCAACAAAAGCTTTTTCATTCATCACAAAAGTATTTACAATGCACATTACAACATATATTTAGAGATTTTAGACCCTTATGACTCCCCGCATATATCACATCATAACATCCTTCAACTCATGTAAAGAATATGAACACATAAATAAATGTTTTTTCAAATATAGTATACAATATCAGAGTCATCACAAGTTTCACAAAAGTTCTTTGTAACAATCGCACAATCTTAAATTCAGGAGAAAACAACATATAAAATTTAAAAATTTTCATAAATTAACCAAATTATCACATATTGTTCATAGCTACATTTCATAATTTTTATTATACTACAACAATATTTATAAACATCATAATATTTCTCCAACTTATAAAAACGATGAATTTAAAAAATCACCCAATGAAATTTCATAAATAAAATATCAAAATATGCAGAATATTGCCAACTATGACATACCAAAGTTATATGGTGAAATTTTATCTAATGAAAATATATACTCAATTTTATCTAATGCATTTTCTTGCTGATAAGCATTACTACTTGAAATTTACACAGTAGAAACAGAGACTTTTAAAAGCCAATCAAAACTTGTTCAAGCAAAGGCAACATCAGCAAGAAAGAAAGAAGGCCATATAGATATTTACATTACATGGAGATAATGTTCTATTGAAATTATTATTATATAGAACAAGCTCACATCCCTATTCATCTCTTTTATCAACTCATGAGAAAAACAATCAGAATTGCAGCGACTGCCAATGCAAAAAAGGAAGTCTTGTCAGGGTGAAGAGCTTCAGCTGTGCTGAATGTTGGCATGGCACCCTGAGAGCCAGAATTCCCTGATGACTTCGCCAGGAAATCGTGAAGGAAGTCGGATATATTACTTGCCTTCTCCGATACCTTAACCTTGACATTATTCACCATATTGGAGAACATGGAGCCTTTATAAGTTTTTTCACTTTCTGGGATTGGATGAGACTCTTCAGGAGATTCATTCACAGAAACAAATTTTGCTGAATCCACATCCACAAATGCACAGAGAATAATTTCGATGAGCTGAATATGTGCGAAAACAAAAAAAGCTATTGAAATGGAAAAAGAAATTCGTTTGTTTACTTGGTGGGACATTTTTCATGAACTCAGCGACCATCTCATTTTTCATCACAGCCTCAAAAACGCACTCATCTGTGGCAATTGAGGCAACAACATCCTGCACAGAATGCAAAAGCTCTCATTCATCATAAGAAGTAATACTGGAGAAATCGAGAACAGAGGAAAATAAGACAGGCTATTGCTCACTGAATGACTAACATAATAGTTTTATAATATAAAAAGATCATATATAATGGCTTTCTGAAGTGTGTTATATGAGAATATCACACTAATTCTTTATATTAAAAAGGCTCCACCTGTACTTCGGAACTTCGGTGCAGCAAAGAAAACATTTGAGAAATATGTTTTGGAAGTTTAGATACTGTTCTGGTTTCCCCGGAGACATTATTCACCATATTGGAGAACATGGAGCCCTTACAGCTTTTTTGACTTTCTGGGCTGTAGGATTCTTTGGGACATTCATTCACAGAAATAGATTTTGCAGAATCCACATCTACAAATGCACAAAGAATAGTTTCCATGAGCTGGAATGTGAATTTGTACAACAAAAAAGCTATCAAGGCTTCGTTTGGGATGGCTTTCTTTTTGTTTTTTAAAGCAACTTCTTAATACAAAAATTTTAATTTTTATACTAAGAAGCTACTATAAGAAGCAATAAGAAAGCCATCATAAACGAAGCCTAAAATGTAAAAAAGTGTTTATTTACTTGGTGGGACATTTTTCAAGAACTCAGCGACCATCTCATTTTTCATCACAGCCTCAAAAACGCACTCATCTTTGGCAATTGAGGAAACAACATCCTGCACAGAATGCAACAGCTCTCATTCACCGCCACTCAATCAAAGGGCCCTCCATGATTTTATGAGATCCAACGAAGTATATGAGCTCTTATCAACTATTCATCACATCTTTAAATAAGAGCTATCAATAAAAATCAGTATAGATTATGTAAGATTAATATTCTAGCTTTTATGGTAGAATAATACATTAATATGTGATCTTTTAGGATGCACAAAGACATATATACAAATGCATATATGTATGTGCATTTGTACATACAACATATACATTGATACATTATTTATTGTATAAATTAATAAACTATCGATTTATTAATACTATGTATATCGTTATATATATGTTTTAGTAATTTGGAAACAAATTATTATGAATATATGTATGTGCATGTGTGACTAACATTATAATTTTAGAATATAAAAATATCACAAAAAATGGCTTAATGAAATGTGTTAGAGTGTATGAAAATATCACATTAGTACTTTATATTAAAAAGGCTAATGCAAACACCTGTACTTCGGAACTTTGGTGCAGCAAAGAAAACATTTGAGAAATATGTTTTGGTTGTTTATATGCTGTTCTGGTTTCCCCGACTGATCTCTGGCAGTCCTCACGAGAGTCCAGCTTTGGATTTGGTTGGTAGGAGACCCTGAAAATCTTATAGCAACCAGACTATGAGTATAAATGGCATTGGATTTGATAAAGTTAGGAGTGAGAACCCTAATTGCAAAGATTTTCATCAAAACTTTCAGTTCTTAAATTCTAATGCACCTACTATTAAGGGATGGCTAACTCTTTCAAAAAAAGCTCTTTGTATTTCTGATTTTTCATTGTGAGATTTTCTCATTGAGAAAATACATTTACGAGGTGTGTCTGGTCACTTAGACCGTGATAAGATAATAGCTATGACAAGGAATAAATTTTATTTGCAAAGATTTACAAGATATAAAATCCGTGTTGTTGCTCAATGGCATAGCTTCCTTATGACATAATATGAAAAACTCAACTCTGGTTTATACAGGCAACTTCCAATCCCTCATAAATCATGAGATGATCTTAGTATGAACTTTATCGTAGGATTGTCCCATACTGTACAACGCTTTAATGCTTAGTAGCTGTTGATCACCTTTCTAAAATGACACATTTTATTAAAAATGTTATAGGACATCAGATGCATCACATACGACATTCATCTTCTTTAGAGAGAATATTTTACATGGGCTTCCCTAGATAATTATCTTTGATTATAATGTGATATTTATGAGCTATTTTTGAAAAACCATAAGAAAAATTTTAGCACTAAACTTTACTTGCAACATCCTATCGAACTCATACTGATGGTCATATTGAAGTCATCACCAGAAGCTTATGAGACTTATTTAGATGCTTAGTAACTCATTATACTGCTAGTTGGATCTTATTCTCCCTACTACTGAGTTTTTCTACAATAGTTCGATTAATAGGTCAACAGATTGGCTCACAAGTAGGCTCTTTGATTTTCTCTGTTATTATCCTACAATTGTGTTAAATCCCTGAAGTCGATTCAATGGCATTGTTTCAATTGCTGATCCACTGGCTGCCAAAAGTAGATTTCCTCTGCATTCCTTTTCAGAAAAAAAAATGATCCCTGAATAAAAATCTGACTATAAATTTGAATTTTTGTGTGTGCTTTAGTCATCTCATCTTAAATATGTATTTCTAAACTCCATATCATAAGATTTTTTTGCATAAGATTTGGTATTAAATCTTAAGGTTGCATCATCATTCTAGCAGAAGTAAAACATAACAATTGGGCACAATTACCAAATGAATAACTAAATATTTTAAACAAAATTGGAAAAAAACTATAATTTTAAACAACTAAAATGTAGTTCACAAGATTCAAAATTATATTTATACATTTGGTGGGAGGTGTAATCTTAAGAAATTTCCAAATTGAATTGATGACTTGACATTGTTATTTTATTTTAAATATTACAATGTTTGAATACCAAAGAATTAAATTTGCTAGATCAGAACTAGTGAGATATTCTCAAGAGTAATATCTACCATTCAACAAATAAAAAGACCAACATAATCAATGTCGGAATTGAAAACAAAGTTATTATGAAGTATTTGAATATTCTATAACTAAATGTTACTTTTTCTAGACTATTATGGATTTTATGAAAGGTCTTTATGAAAGAGATTATGGAAAAATATAAGAGCATTCCAAAAGACATTAAATGAGATTTTATACAAGTTTTTGGATATTGAGGAATATTACAACTATTCTATTAGTACAAATAAATCCATACTTAATGTCCCTGAAACAGAGTTTTATATTTCATGATTCTTTGAAGGCATTCATTATAAATATATTTTCTAAATTATTGGTGCAATTTAACTCTCTCTATAAGGTCCCCTTTATAAATTGTTAAATCACATAATCATGAACAAAAAATAAAGTTAGCATCAATGTGATCATCCATCATTAGAAAGGAATCACTAGATGATGTTTTTAAAAGTTGTATTATCAGATTGTTCATTTGACTCACCAACTACATCATATATGTTGATTCATCTTCACAATTAGAAATAGACTGGATTCATATTCAAATTTGGCTCATGCGCAATTTTGCTTTCAAACTCTAACAAAGACTCAAATTTACACGAATAGAATTAGATTCAATAACATCAAATGCATATTCAAATTGCAACTACAAATCATATTCTGTGTTTAATACATCCTCAAGAGAATATTCCTAAGCCATCATTTCATAAATGGAAAGATTTTGCATTAAAGCTAAGATGCTACAAAGTTTTTCTTAGGAATCAGTACAGGTGCAATAATCTTAACAGAATGCTTGTGATAGGCCTCAAATAATATTTTTGGTTAATTATAACATAGTTCATTTCTAAATTTTGCCCAAGTTCTTTAACGAATCAAGTAATGGTAACAAAATTTCCTTAAGTCAAATTATGTATAGTTATAAAACATATGAGCCTAACAGAATATTCAAAAACACTAAATTTTTTTAATTTACAACTCTAGAAAATTGATTATGCAATTTATCCAGATCTTCACCAAATGATAGATATTTCTCCTGAAGCTTATATTTCATGCCTTCCCATATTGATTTTACTTCAAACACTTCGTCAAAATAATTAAGTATGTCTCATTAATATTAATTTAGTAAATTTAACTTATTTAAAATCAAATAATCGATAATGTTTATAGAAGTCTTCCAAATGATTGGTCCACTCTAAAGAGTTCTAAGATCATACTCCCCAATTGAATGTAGGAATGTAATTTTGAACCTCACAAAAATCACATTTTTGACTAGAACCATAATTTATTCTAATTTGCTCTATTTTCAGCATTTATTAGTTTTTGTTTCCAAAAATAATGTCCTATATTTAGTTGGTAGAATCAAGCAATCATAAGATCTAATACCATTTTGATGCGAGACAATTTACGCTTAAGGCTTCCTAATGCAACTAAATTATTTGGTGTAAAAAAATCATGTAAAAGAACTTGGGATTTATAGATCACAAACCGCTAAATAAGCCAATACTTACTTTCATTAAATGCAAACTATAAACATGAGAATTAGAACCTAAAAGATAATGTTATTATCAAATAAATTCAAAGGAATAAGCAAGAAATTTGAACCATGCAAAATTAAAAAGCAGCTATAATTTAATAACCATAATCAGAATATCAATTTTCTCAAAATTGAACAAAGATAGGAACATTATCGAGCAGATATTAATGATACATATGAATCCGACGCATGCGGTAGGCCAAAGAAAATAGAATTTTTGTTCAGCTCTGAACACTGATAATATATTCCAATAATACATATAATACATTCCATTGTTGTAACTTGAACATCATTTCAGAGTCTCTAATGGTAAACTATGACATGCACACTTCTACCAAGATTTATACAACTACAGGGCTATTTAGTAGCACCCAGAATTTGATTTAAGTAGGATTTCGTAAATCTGCTAAATCCGGATTTCAGAAATCATGAGGGGCCTAAATCCTGAAAACTGTTTGGTAACATTCATGATAAATCTTCTTAAATTCTTTGTGACTGTTTGACTATAAAGCAGATTTAATAAGCAAACTTTTCCTCTGAGCCTATAGATTTCGTAAATCCGGGATTTAGTACGAAAATCCAGAATTTTATGTCTACGGTGGCTTTCATTTGACGTAATATTTAGTTTTGCATTTTAGGCCGTTTGGATGGATTTCGCTCAAATCCGCCTCAAATCTGGCCTAAATCCTACTACCAAACAGCCCCTACATATAACATTTAAAGGCTCCAAAATGTGAAATCAGAAAATGCAAAATAATCTGCATGGCAAATCATAGAGAAGTAAATTAACGAAAGCAGTACAATAATGCGCTTTTCTTAGGGTGATTAAAACATGCAAATTCTCATCAAGTTAAAAAATGCTACTCTTGAGTCATAGAACACTTGATCACGTGACCACAACAATGGGTATCAATTCTTCTCAAGTTCATATTCATGTTTGTAAATCTGATTAGAGACATTTAAACATACCATCCCAAAGAGCCAAGAATGTTCAGAACCAGCCATCTATTCCACACTAAATAGGAAGATGTATACGAACAAGGAATCAACGAAAGCTATTATTTAACATAACATATTTTATTCTTCTCCTGCATAAAAAATCAATGGCTTTGATGCATCAAAAGGAAACGAGATAGCTTGGATTGTTAATGAAACTAGTAAAAAATACAGAACATGAAAGGAAAAAAATCGGGATAACTCACTTTTCGATTGACCCCTTCAGAGACGAGCACTTCTCCTTCGCCTCATCTTGTGTTGGGGTGGGTCCAAAAATCTTCCTTGGAAAGCGATTTGCCGATCCAAAATTCTTCTCAACGGCGGGAAATAAAGGAACCGGAGGAAAGGAGCCGAAACAAATCCACATGTCCGATTCAAGCGCAGGTGCTGTAGAGGACAAGTCGGCGACTTGATGCCGGGAATCCCTGGAAGAAATCTCATCGATAAGCGGGGAGCGAAAAGCTCCGATGTTTGCTTGTCGTCTGACTCCGCCGCACATTCCTGTCGTCTTCCTCGCCATGGTTCAGTGAAGACCTAACGACGAAGACCAACTGTACAATGCGAGTGACAGAAATCGAAAATGATTAAAACGTTTTAATATATTTTCCAAAAAAAAACCTAAGATTTTATATTAAAAAAAAGTTCGATTATTTTGATGAAAATTTAATTATAATTGATATTACAATTATTAAATTTGAATTTAATAATTTTTAAAACTCAATTCAAATTAAACTTTAATCAAAATATTATGAATTATATATATATATATATATATATATATATATTGTTAACTGTTCATAAAAAAAAAAATCAATGAAGTGGCCATTTAATTGAAAATATTTAAAAAACAGATATATTCAAAATATAATATTAAGCGGCTCGTGTCGGTTGAGGGCATTTGTTAGTCCATATAGACTTGCGTTCGAGCTGCTCAACCTGCCAAAAAAAAATGTTAAAATTAGAATTTAGATGACATTGAATTTAATTAAAAAAAATACAATTTGAATATGCATCAAAATTTATGTCATATCAAAATAATTTTTGGCTATAAACTTGTTGAAATTGAAGTTCAAATAGTCTCGAATTTAATTTTGGATGTTTCCCTCTTGAATATACCTTGAGATTCATGCTTGATTAAGACGATTTTTGGTGAGGCATTATATTTTAAGTGTATTTATATTAATATTTTTTAAACAAGCCAGCTTGAAATCTAACAATTCGAGTCAAAACTGGCTCAAACTTAACTCGTTGGCTCATCGAGCTCATCTCAGAGCCCTAGTAGAATCCAGAGTTGGCTTGACTCACTCACAACACTACTTATATCCTATTAAATTATAAATTTAACAAATTTTATTATTTTTAAAAACATATTTCTAGTTGTTATCGCTCAAATGAGCTAATAACTAGTATTGTGTCCTAGAATATTTGTGGTGGTAGAAAAATATGAATTTTAGCGTCTTAATTTTGTACGAAGATTCAGCATACAAAAAGATGAAAGATATGAGTATAATGTTTATAAAAGACACCAGAGTTTTAACGTGAAAACCCCTAAAAAGAGAGAAAAACCACGGGGTCTTGGACAATTTAAATGAATTCACTAGTGTTTGCAATTAATTACAAATGAGGCCCTTCCTTGGGGGGAAGGCCTTAGCTCGTTGTAGCAAATATGCATCATATTGAGTGCATTATATGGTTGTAGTTGGAAGAAACAGTGTTGACATGTTTGATTGGTCGACATGACTATAGTCGGCAAAGCTATGTAGGTCGGGCGTATGTCTCACGATAGTTGGTGGTCGTGCGGAAGTTAGACGAAAGTTTCATGACTGTTGGTGGTCGGACAGTCGTCGATGAGGAGCTTGGTGGGAAGATAAATCTCCTTCTTCTGCTTCTCTTCCCTTTCTCTACTTGCTTCCTCCTTTTTCTCCCCCACCTCATATGAAGAATGATGAGTCTATTTATAATTTTCTAGGAGTAGCATGGTCAGTAAGTAGGAAAAAGATTAAGAGCATATTGAGAGTGTTTTTAATGGACGGCTGATACCGATTTATTTGATCATGGACTATTAATCGGGTATTTAAGTGTCTTGATGATATCAAAAATTGGCAATTTTGGGCTAATTGGATTCATCTTGTCGAGCCACTCAATTTGATAAAAAAACATGTCCAATTTAGAAATCATTTGGTCTTCCAATTTATGATTTGAACCTTCCAAATGCATTTCGGGTCTTCCATTTGAACCCATTTTGGCTTATAGATTGAGCCAAATTTGGTGTCGTAGGATTCATCTTTCCGAGACGTTCAGTTCGACAATAAGTTTATTGAAATTGGGGTTCATATGATCCTAGATTTAATTACAAAATTGGGAAATTTACATACATGCCACTTTATAACATCCTATTTACATATCTAACACCTAAAATTTTAATATTACATGTATACCACCCTATATTATTTTAATATCAAATATAACACTTATATTTCTTTCCTATCACTCATATATTTCATTTATACCACTCATATTTGATATGAAATGAACTATAGGTGGTATGTATGTAATATTAAAGTTTTAGGTGTTAAATATGTAAATAGAATACTATTAGGTGGTATGTATGTAAATCTCCCTAAAAAATTTTCAGTTCAAATTTTACCTCCAGTTCGTGTTTGACCAATATAAATTTTTACGGATATATCAACTACAAACTTCTTGTTATTTAAAATTCGGAGTTAATATTCAATTATGTAAATACAAAAAAAAACCTTGAAGGCAGTCTTTAAAGTTTTAGATTTCGTTTGGGACGCCTTTTCATTGTTTCTTAAAGTAGGTTTATAGTAAAAAATTTTAATTTTTGTATTAAAAAATTACTTTAAGAAGTAATGAGAAAGTCATATCAAATGAAGCCTTAATTAAATCTGATATAATTTGAGCTGTGAAGTTTGATTAGTACAACATTGCTTTTATGGCAGTTCAACAAAATTATGCACTTATCAATTATCATTATAAGATAGTAGCACTATCATTATAAACTAATACAATAAAACTAAAAAAACCATTATGAAATCTAAATATTAAACAATTAAATGAAGTAGGAAACATTAACCCTAAATTCTATATTGTAAGTGGATATTGCAGAACCAACAAAAAATCATTATATTAAATTATTCTTTAAGATTTTTTTTTTCTAATTTTTCATTTTTAATCATTTTATTATTATAATTGATTTAATCATAATCATTTTCGTGAGTTGGTTCAAATTCATAGAATAAAGTTGGTCGTGGCTGATTTCCATTGAGCAGTTCAACACCGAATTTATGTTTTTCTAGTAGGGTTTGGTGGCGGTGGCGGCGGGATTTTTCCCCGTCCCAGCGGGAGCTTGGGTCAAGCTGGAACTTGATTAATTAATTAATTTTTTTTAGCCAATAATCAACGCTATTTCTGGAACTTGATTAATTAATTAATCAAGCTCATGCTTAAACTAGAGGGCGAGCTCGGCTTGACTCATTTGCTATGTACATTTTTCAATTTTTAGAAATCTTGAGTGCAAAGATAAAAAATTAATACTAACAGAATTCAAATAAAAAAATTAACTGATTTTTTATTTTATTTTATTTTGCATTTTGACAAAATTAATACTAACATAATTCAATATATATATTTAGATAAATTAAGAAAAATTCATACAAATATCACATACGTAGGACTCGAATACAAAACCTCTTTGTTGGTAGCCTGAGCTCCCAACCAACAGACCACGATGAGCCGCATGCAATGATTTACTTGAATATATAAAACACATATATGCTTGATGTTTGCTACATATATATTCTTACGTCATTGCGTAAATGGATATTGCAGAACCAACCAAACAATCATCAGTAGATTATCCTATAACAACGTCTATAGCTTCATCCATCTTTTTTGACTTTGTTTAAGATAGTTTTCATACTGCTTTCTAAAGCAACTTGTAGTACATTAATTTCTTAAAAACAACAAAAAAATATACTGAACAAAAATTATCCCGAGCGAAGCCTTCATTTCAACAATCTTTATCTATAGCATTAGCTTCCTCAAGCAACCATGCAACTTAGCCAAAATTTACAAATTAGCTTGATAAACAAGAAAAGATTATAAATTTTATAATATATTCACATCATTTGAAAAAAAAAAGAAATCCCAATCTTTAGTTACATCAAACATTTCTCTCATGTTCATAACTTCATAAGCCAATTGGTTAATAAATCAAGCATTAAGCTAATTATGTTGCAATTGGTTATATGGATCATCTATTTGCTTAACCATAATGACATTTGCATGAATTACAACATTTTTGAGAATAAAATAGAAGATTATTTTTTTATTTTTTGGAAACCAAACCTTAAAATAATTCTATAAAAGATTCACATTATTTACCAATTGGCATATGGAGTTATGAGCAGTTGAGAAATGTTTGGATGAATACAATAAAAGTTGCTTTCGTTGGTATTTCATTATTAAAAAGATTATATGACTCAATACATGCCATCACCCACTCTATCGACACTGTTTTTGACTACGATATCAGCACTAAGATTTATACTGTATTTGTCTTTGATCGCTCGTCTTAAAGGTATAATGTCCAAATCAAATAACAAAATATCTCTTTATCATAGCTCCGATGCCATAGGGCTTTTCCAACTTCTAATGTGAACTACATTTGTATATTGTATATTTTTATCAACATATTTTTTTGACCAAAAATCAAAACATTTTATTGGATGGTTTATATTGACCCATTGGATCATATAATATTTTTTAAACTTCTTAATGATTTCAAACTTGAGCAATCCTATTTAATTTGATTGATACTTGGCTTAACTTGGATCAAAATATTTTTTTTTTATATTGCTGGATTTGTGTCAATTAGGCACACATTTGGACTTTAACTTTGCTCAAAAAAAATTCTGATGATAATGAAATAAATTTAATTTTTTTATTCAAATACTTAAAAACTTTGAACTTCAAAATTTATGTGAATATTAATATTTAAAATTGTGTCAATATTCATATTTCATCGCATAGACCTCTTATTCTTTCCAGAGTTCGGAGTAGTCAGTCGTGCTTGAAAGCTCCGGTTGGGATCGACCCATAACCAATTCAGGAAGGATAGGAATAACCTACAAAGCAAAATAGAGAAGAGGGAGGAGAGAAACATCTTTATCAACATATTTTTTTTGACCAAAAATCTACATTCTAGATTTCATATGACTACGTTTATTGCCATGCGAAAATGCTTTCTCAACAACCTTAGAAACATCTAAATCATACAAGTCCTGACAAGAATCTGCACATCACCAACATCATCACTCACCGCACCAGGTGATGAGGGAGACCCTTCAAGCCATCCCGAATGCCCAGTACAAATAACCCCCAAATTAGAAACAAAATTAGCATTGAAAGTGTTAGAGGACAACACCAATAGGGGAATAAAAATTTATTTGCAAAGGGGAATAACATTTTTGTAACCTTTTTTAAGAAAATAATGCACAGAGCACGAACAAGAAAAATAAAATGCA